CCCCCCCCCCCCCCCCCCCCCGCCATTATCATGTTCAAAGACAGAGTCTATGTGAAGACAATGTAACAGTAGAGATGATCACATCTAAAGGTATTGAGGCTTGTATTGCCAGTAGCTGTTTCCAACTGTAATGAAAATGTTATTTTTAAGTGTTAAATGACTGCTGCTGTTTAGTATATGAAATTCCTAGAGCTGTCTTAATACACTGTAGCGAATAACATTAAGGCTGAGTTGTACTCCAAGTTTAAACCCCTCTTCATTGCTCTTTCTCTGTGGACTTCCTCAATACAAGGAACCTTAAGGCTAGCTTAATACTACAGCCACTAGAGATATGCAAGCAGTGTTTAATAGTACCTCTACAGGTACGAAATACCCATCCAGACCAAGAATAAAAAAAATTTGTCTTTGTTCTGCCTTTAATTCTTTCTTTCTATTGTTGTTATTCTGTGGATAAAATACAAAGCTATTACTCATTTGCCAAGTAATGCTAAATGTTTATCAATCACACTGATTGATTGAAAATTGTTAGCATGCGGTTGATATTATGGGTTTGGTTTCTTTACATCAAGATTCATGAATACAATTCTCAACTACTACAACTACTGAAACAAGCACGTTTGACTGACATAGACACTGTCGGTCAAGTAGACCCAAGTCAAACTTCTTACATATATCAGGACCAGTTCCTTGGCTTTTCTGTTCCAAGTCTGGATAACAAAGGTAAAGCCAATTATGCTGCCTCAGCTGCATGTATGTCCAAGTTGTCCCCTGGCTCGGCAGCTGCAGTGGTGCTCTGCACTGTTCTCCCAAGCCCTGAAAGATCTCAGGATTCACAGAACCTATCATCCATGAGTCCCTTAAAGCAATCAAGTTGTATATTGTACCTGCTCTTTCTAACCACGTTTGTTGTGTGAAACAATAAAATTGTTTATAAAGAGATATAATGTATTAAACAAGACAGTGCTGATCTGTGATTGAATTGTACTTTCTGGGGTGGCTTTCTTTTATCAGCCTTTGGCTGATAGCAGAAAAGTAGGGAAGGAAATTCAACAGCCTATGGAATTTAAATCACTCCACAGGAACTGGAACGAGTGCAGTTCGCGTACATCCAGCAAGGTAGAAAGATTAATGCAGTCTTTAACCACTTATTTCACACCAGCCCTGATTCAGTCATTTAACATCAACACAGATCAGTTTTCCTTAGCCAACATTCAGCACCTTTCTTGAGTAAAGGCAAGGAAGATCAATTCTTTTGATTGCAGTCTAAAGATAGAACATAGCAGATAGAGCTATATAACTACTATAAGGATTACACAGTTTTGTGTAAAATGTACCAAAATAGAATTCTAATACTGAAATGTGTTACAAATACAACTCTACTTTTCTGATTTTTCGGAAGGCAGCATGGAAGCTGAGATTGGGGCATTAACAGCAGAAAGAACAAAAGGCAACACGCTTCCTACACCGTACAATTCTTCACAGTAAGACAGTCTGACCGTTGCTGTTCTTACTGTTTGTGGATTTCTTGGCATAATTTTCTGTTTAAGAGAGCTTAACTGAACTACAGTTCATGGATACTGTGTAATTCCATTACTAGATAACTGTTACTCCAAAGCATATGAGAAGAATGCAAGTATTAAATCTTAGAATAGCTAATTTTTATCCTTTATTTTAGAGCATATGACTAAGGGGTTGGTGCCCTAAATATAGAAGAGCAGAAAAATCTGAAGTAGTAAATTATTCCAAGGAACCTGCGTAAACTCTTTCTGCACAGAGTTCATCAGCATGTTAATTCAGAGCTGCCAGATAGTCTTCAGTTTAAAAAAAACCCAATGATAAAGTGACTTGCTCACTTCAGCCAGAAGCACATTCTTCACACCATGCTTCTATTGTGTACAAATTAGTCTGAATCCATGACTACTGGGGCACTATCAGTGCCAGCATAACCAGACGAATAAAAGTACAAGCATTGCGTGGCAACTCTTACAGTCAGTGAAGGTGGCAGAACTTCAAAGGTTCACAACAGATAAAGGGTTTACATGATGCTGTTCTAACCAGTCTTTCGTGTTATCCCTCTGATGGTATGTAGGCCTTATGGAGAAAGCATAACAACTTTAGTATTGGCGAGGTGCCAAGCAAATTAAGACTTAGTCAAACATTGAAAAAAAAACCCAAAAAAACAAAAAAACCACACAAAATAAATTTTAAAAATCCTTAATCTTAATCAAGGATGCAGAACCTGATTGCATTCCTTGACTTGCTACAGGCCTAGGACACTCAATAGGACAGTCTCATGCACAGGCATTATCTGATCAGAGATGACAGACCATGCAACCTTCACATGCAGGCAGTTCTACAATTTGTTAGTGTAATTTGGCAAGGATAGAGAAGGAATAGTAGGCTCTAAAGTATCCACTTACCCAGAATTCATCTGAATGTGGTAGCAAGCTCTGATACAGAGTTACAGCCCAAACCCACCCACATACAAGAGTCAAGCTCTATTTTTCTGTACTGACTATGCCAAATCAGTAAAAGAAAAGTCATCCTCAGGGTGACTGGCATGCAAGTTCCTCATCACTCCAAAGTTATTGGCAGTATCAGGATGTTCAGAGCTACTGGGCCACACTGAGACCTGTGTGCCAACCCCCCTGCAGAGAAAACTGTACAAAATCCTGCTACTGTGGAGAGAAGTCACTGTGAGACTTCCTGCACCATCTTTGGTAGGAGAAAGGCAGGAAAAAAGGGTAGTGATGTGTGAGGTACTGACAGTACACTGTTTGTGCAGCGCTGGAGCTAGTGAGGCACCTGTATTAGTTTCATGCTCTGCCCCTACATCACCTGTCCACGATCTGCCTGTACTCTGCAGACCCTCTCCTCCAGCAGTAGGAAAGGACTTAAGACCTTCTCTGCAATAACATCCACCCACTTTCTCTCCTCAGACAAGTGGCAGATTAACACTTCGGCAAATGCTAGATCAAAAGCTCTAGAAGAGAAGTGAAAAGAGTAGAACTCCCTATGCCACCTTGGACTGCTGCAGCCCCTGATGAAACCTTACCTCTCTGCATCCCAAGTCTTGTTCCAGGTCCTGAACGGTTGACCAGCAAAAGATCAATGAAGGCTCACACGTGCTCCACACAAGCCTCCTTCCTACATCCTGCCAACTTTTGTCCACAGTTGCAGTGGTA